TAGCCCAAATGCCTGCATGTGCCTGCACAAGTCACAACTGGTAACCAGGCAACCCCGTCAGCAACTGTTTCATTAAAATCGTGTTTTTGTTTTTGTTTGTTTGTGTGTGTAAATTACTTTACACAACCATAGTTGTTATCTTACACACTATACTTAACATGTAAATGAAATCAGTGCATTTTCAAGCTCACAGACCCATGGGATAGGGTAGTAACTCCTAATCATGTGTTAGCACCTCTTCCTGCTCTGGCCCCGTAACTGCACAGCATTGCTGCAGGCTGCTTTCTCTAGATTCTCTTCTTCAGGGAATTCGCCCATATTCTAGGCTTGAACTGTAAAATCCCTATAAAATAAATCTTAAAACTACAAGCAAAGCATGGCTTTGAAATGCACGGTACAATCCCTTCTTTGTCCGCTCCGGAGAGCGTTTGTGAGGAAGGCACAGTGGGCGGCCGGATGCGGCCCTCACTGGGGCTCTGGCATCAGGCAGGGAGGAAACTTCTGAACTGCTCCATTTCCTAGCTGTGTGGCCTTGGGCAAGTTACTTAACCTCCTTCCAGCCTACATTCCTGATCTATCAGAGAGGGAAAATAATAGTATCCTAGCAGGAGGACTATTGTGAGGACCAGTGAAATAATGCAAAAGCACACGGTGACTGGTGTGCTAGAAGTTGCCAGCAAGTGCAAATTGCAGTGATAATTATTATTACTCTCATCTTTGGCAGGATGAAGCAATTTAGGTGACCGTGATTTGAAACCTTTGAAGTGCTATGCAAATGTGAAATATTATTATTGTGCATACTGTTGAGTGAAATCCAAAGATGTTGGTAGAAAGAGATGCGTATAAGAAATCAGAAATAAAATAAATAAATAAATAAATAAATAAATGCTAAAAAAATAAAAAGAAGAGAAATCAGGAAAGCCAGATAGATCCTAATGGTACGCCTGCCACTAAACCTCGATGTGACCTTGGGCCAGGCTCTCTGTGAGCCTCCACTTTCTACTTGTAAATGAAGCAGTATGATTAGAGCATTGCTTTTTGGGGATTTACAATAAGTTCTTTTTAAATTTTTTTATTTATTAATTTGTTTTTGTTACAGGTGTTTCTCATTTTCCCCCCATTGATGCCCCCCCCCCAGCCCCAGCCCCAGCTTTGTTGTCTATGTTCATTGGTCATACATACATGCATGTAAGTTCTGTGGTTTATCCCCCCCCCCAACCTCCCCTCCTCTGAGGCTTGTCAGTCTGTACCCCACCTCTATGTCTCTGGGTTAATTTTGTTCAGCAGTTTGTTTAGTTCACTATATTCCACAAATAAGTGAGATCATGTAATATTTGTCTTTCTCTGCTTGGCTTGTTTCGCTTAGCATAATACTCTCCAGATCCTTCCATGCCATCCCAAAGGATAAGAGATCTTTCTTTCTTATAGCTGCATAGTATTCCATTGTGTACATGTACCACAACTTTTTTTTTTATCCTCACCCAAGGACATTTTTCAATATTTTGTTGAGATAAAGTGGGAGGGAGGGAGAGAGAGAGAGAGAGAGAGAGAGAGAGAGAGAGAGACATCGACGTGAAAAGGACACATCGAGTGGTTGCCACCCACACAACCCAACCAGGGCCGGGAACAAACTGCAACCGAGATACATGCCCTTAGCGGGAACCGAACCCAGGTCTCTCCGGACCGCAGGCTGATGCTCTAACCGCTGAGCCAAACCGGCCAGGGCTAATTGCAGTTTTATTAGATTATCTCGAAGTTTCACCCCAGCTCTGAAATTCTGTGATTTGATTCTATATTGGAGCAAATAAGTTAGGGAGCAAATCTCACACACTCCTTGAAATAGACTAGGTCAATGCATACTACGCGTATCAATGGCCAAAGCTCATCTCTGAGATTGATAAAAGTTAACCCCAACGGCAACAATCAGAAAGAGCAATCTGGGGGAATTCAATGAAAAGGTAAACAACTCCCACATACCTCAGAAATCTTGGAGGACAGCACTGATAACATACCTATAATAGCAATACTACCTTATCTGTAGTTTTGCTTTCTGTGGTTTGAGTCATCTGTCATCAACTGCAGCTCAAAAATGTTAATATAAAATTCCAGAAATAAACACTTCACAAGTTTTAAATGGCATGTCATTCTGAGTATTGGAATGAAATCTCCAGTTGTCTTTCTCTGTTCCGCCCCTACGTGACTCATCCCCTGGTCCAGTGTCTCCACGCTGTGCATGCTCCCCACTTCCATTAGTCACTTAGCCATCTTGGTTATCAGATCAACTGTGTGGTATTGCAGTGCTGTGTTCAAGTCACCCTTATTTTACTTACTAATGCCCCAAAGCATAAGAGTAGTGATGCTGGCACTTTGGATATGCCAACGAGAAGCTGTAAGGTGCTTCTCCTTTAAGTGAAGAGGTATGCATATATAGGAAAAACATAGGATATATAGGGTTGGGTACTATCTGTGGTTCCAGGCATCCAGGGGGGGGGGTGTCTTATAATATATTCCCCACAAAGAAAGGGGCACTACTGCATTAAACTAGTCAAAAAAAATGATCAGATCATGCCTAGCAGGAAAGTGGGTGCAAGACTCCTTAACATTTTTTGGGTGTGGCTTTGGATAGTCATGCTCTCTCACACAGCTTGCAGGGCTTGCTTCCTACCTTCCTGAGGTACTGAGTACCTGCTCTGTGCAGATGTGGTGGTAAACTGGGCCACTGAGACAGTCTGTTCTGCAGTTGCTGATCAACTATTGGATAAAGCATTTTAACTGTGGGAAATACTTTTACATTTTCTGCATACTCCTGTATGGTGCTTACATTGTTCATATATGGTTTGTCTATTATTCTGTGTATTCAGCTCTGGGTTGCTTCTCCACCCTCAGCCCTCCAGCAGCTTCTGGATGTTAAATATTATCTCTTTGTGTGACTTGCACCAGAACGAAGAGTCGTCTGTTACTCTTTTACTTCCTAATGAGCCCTCAGTCTGGTTTGCAGGGCACTCATGGATTCTTTCTCTTTTCTTCCCATAAGACTGATCAGTTCAGATTTAGCTGCTTGGTCTCATTCTTCTTTAGGATTCAAATTTTATTCTTTCTATTCACTTTTCCATCTTTCTCCAATAAAACAAAATAACCAGAAATGATAACAAAAACTAGACAGTATGGCGTGGCAGCAGCACTTTGAGGGAGGGGCTAAACATTTCTTTTGCTACTATAGCAACTACTATTAAATGCCTTGTCACTTACCTTTGAGGCTCTTTGGAAATGTGAAAGCTATTTTGCACATACTGTTAAGTGTTGAAAATCACCTCAATTACTTAAGATACTTTATCTCCTGCTAAAGTTGTTAAAGGGACTTTAACTATTTTCCTCAGGTATTTGTTATAAATGTAGAATGCAGTATCGATAGATTTTTTTTTCCATATTCACTGATCCTCATATTCCCTGAGAATGACAAGGGCATTATGAAGACCACAATAGAAAAAAATTTCCATAAAAATACTTAATCAGAAAGAAAAGACTTGATGCTTAAAGATCCTTCCAATTATTTGGAAGATAACCAAGGGCTCATTCAACAATTCATCAGAGAAGCATGTATTAAATTCCTGAAAGTGTTGCATTGTGCAAAGTACTGCAAACATAAGGAGATTAAGAAATGGTTGGTGCTTTCAAGGAACTCTATTAAACACTGCTCACTTTATATCTTGTATAAATACCTAATACTTTACAAAATATTTTCTGCATATAACAACTCATTCTATCCTCAGCACAATCAATCCTGGTTTCACCCTTCATAAACTTGAGATTTCTTATTGCTCACTGTTATTTGGCAATCAGAATATTCATTTTGATGGTTATAACGTGTTAGTATGTCTCCTTTATTGCTGGTCTGATTTCATGTGCCCAGTGACTAAGGGTTTACCAAGTGTCTTATTAGAAATAATTTTTGTTTTTTTATCCTCACCGGAGGACATTTTTACATTTATCCTCAGATAGAGTGGAGGGAGAGAGGGGGAAAGAGAGAGAGAAACATCGACATGAGGGACACACATCGACTGGCTGCCACCCACACGACCCCAACCGGGGCAGGGACAAACTGCAACCGAGGTATGTGCCCTTAGCGGGAACCGAACCCAGGACCCTTAGGTCCGCAGGCCGATGCTCCAACCACTGAGCCAAACCGGCCAGGGAGGGCATCATTATGCTACCTTTAAAGCTACCTGTCAAATGAAACATCCTTCCCAGGATAACACGTGCTTCTCTTATCTTATACTGCCAGTTTATAGATATTTGGTTACTGTTGCTACAGAGGTCAACCCAGTTTTATAATATTCCACAGATTACATTGTTATGTTTTCAGTTTTCCAGAGTGTACTCGGCCACCTAGGAATTATATGATCACTGAATCAATTATTGAGCATCCACCTTGGGCCAGGCATGATACACAAGTCGGAACTGTGAAAACGACCATGTTTTGGCCTCATTGGAAACATTTTTGCATTTGTGTAGGCTCATTCCACATCGGGTTACCAGGAAGCATATCGGTTTGGTGTAAATGGTCCTGTAAGTGTGAGAAAATGGGTAACTAGAATTGAACGAACTCTAATAGGACGTTGAATGCAGACATTAAAGCCTTTATCTATACATTTAGGATTTCGCATGTGCGGTTGACCCCAGAACCACTATTCTAAAGCCGCCAAATGCTACAAAAATGCCAACAAACGGGTAATCTCTGGCCATCCGTGTCCTCTGACGCGTTTTCTGTCCTTTCCAGCGGGCGCCACCTCCAGGAAGCCTGCGGGACGAAGGGACAGGCGCCCGGGTCAGGGGGGCCAGCCCAGGGGTCCCGGCCGCCGCCTCCAGCCTGGGTCTGGACCCGGCTCTGCACGCGTGGCCACGCCCTCTTCCGGTCCCCAGGGCCGGGCAGGGGCGGGGCTGGCGCCGTCGTTCTTCCTGCCCCGCCGGGACCCCTCCCCACTCGCGCCCTTCTGCGCGGGGCCATGGCAGCGAAGGTTTGGGGACGGTGCTTCCCTTGGGTGTGGCTCTGCAGGTGCGACCCCGACTCCTCCCTGAGCTCCAAAAGGCAGCTGCGCGGGTCACCCCGAGTAACCCAGCCCTTGTCCGTATTGCAGGAGCGCCTGGCCCGGCGGCCGCCACTACCGCGCCGCGCGGTGCGCCGAGTTGAAGCGGCCCCTGGCCATTGAGGAGGTCGCCCCCCGCCCCGTCCGGCCTCACGAGGTAGGGTGACTGGCCTATCCCCAGGACCTCACGGCACCTTCCCTTTCCTCTCGGCCACCACACACCCTGGATTGAGTTCCCAAGTGGTCAGCTAGGGGGCGACCCGGACACTGGAGCGCAACTTCGTCCTGGGCCCCGTGGGCCCCTCTTGGTTCACAAAAAGGCCAAAAGGGCTCAAGAAAGAGGTTCCCACAAAACACAAATGGAGGTCTCTTTCTGAAGGCCCCAGAGCTGTTGCCTTAGAAACAGAATTCTGATTTGCACACCATTTTGCATAACCACCTGCAAGTTATTGATTTAACGCAGATAAATGGACCCCCATCCTTTTCTTTCTCCTCGGTGTCAGCATCTAATTACCTGCCTTCCCTCCTCCCCCAAACCAGTCGGCAATGTACCCTGTTTCCGTTGGAATGTGTGTACTGCAGTGGTTTGGGGTTTAGGGATGTGGGCATTTCCAGTGAAATGGGGAAGTCACTTTGGCCTTGGGGGTTGACCACTCCGGTGACACGATGCGGCTGGCATGGAGAATGAGAACCTCTGACAAGGTGCAGCAGGCAGTGTGCCTGACCACTGGTGACAGGAGAAATGTGGCTCCTGCCCCGTGGTTAAATGGGTTACTTGGGTGAGCTCATGATGGCAGCCAGGTGGCTTCCTGAGACTTGGGTGCTGAAAGACGTTAATCCTTGAATCGACTTGAATTGAGATGGAGTGGCTTGAGGTCCTGTGTATGCTGCGCATGTTATCAACCTATGTGTCCTGCACCAAACGTGCAAAGGCTGAAGGCTGGACTCCTTTGTTCTGTTATTTGCCCAGACACTTCCTCCTAAGGGATTGGTTTATGAGAGCTGGGGCTGAGTTTACCCGCTATTAAATCTCCCCAGTCTGGAATAGTGCCTGACACTTGGCAGATGCTGAAAACATTGTTGAAAGAATACATTTTGTTGACAAAAATATCCTCTCACCAATATGGCCACCTCTATACCAAACTGGAAATTTAAACAAAACAAATAAATGAATGTTACCCGTGGTCTCTCAGCCTGTGTTTCCTGCTGGGAGGGGTGGTCTATGACAGGAGTGCTCTAACTTTAGCCTGCATCAGAATCACCTGGGGCTTGTTAAAACAGATTGCTGGGCTTTGTCCCCAGAGTTTCTGATTTAGTAGGTCAGGGTGGGGCCTGATAATTTGAATTTTTAACAAGTTCCCAGGTGATTCTAGTGCTGGTGGTCTGGGATCACATTGAGAAGGACGGACTTACAAGGTCTAGGAACTGCTGGCTGCACTGCTGCAGGCTTGCCCCAGCGTCAGCACAGTCATTAAAAAAAATGAAGCTGGTGATCTATGACTAGCCTCCAGGGTGATTTCTGATTCCCAAGACGGCTCATCACGTTACCCTCCTGCTTAAAATCCTTTAATGGCTTACCATTATTACTACTATGAAGTCTAAGATGCTCAATAAAGCCTACAAACCCTTGGATGGTGTGGGCCCCATTCTCTAACCCCATCACTTTCTTCTATTTGTGTTCTAGGCTTGATGGTTTTTCTTTTGTCCCCACCACAGGGCCTTTGCACATGCCATTGCTCTGGACAGTGCCAGAATTACCCCCCCCTACTTTGAATAGTTAACTCTTGGCTGTTCATAGTTCAAGTGTTACTTTCTTACAGATTTCTCCTGACTCACCCAAAAGGTCAAGTTCCCCCATTATATGCTTTCATATTAGCATATATTTCTATTTCTAACATTTTGTGTAGGAGTTGTAATTTAATGCATAAATCCTCACAATTATTGGTTTAATATCTGTCTTCTCTACCATACTTTTTGCTCCATGAAAGCAGGAAACTTGTCCATTTTGCCTCATGATTGTACACTGGGACTGAGTTTAGTATTTGGCATATAATAGGTATTTAGTAAATATTTTGGTGTAACTGAATTATTATCTCCCCAGATATGTACCTCTCTATTTCCTTTACAGGTCAGAGTTGATGTCCATTTCTGTGGAGTTAACTTTGCTGATATTTTGGTTTGCCGTGGTCAGTATCAGGAAAGGCCCCATCTTCCCTTCACCCCTGGTGAGTATGAAGGCCCAAGTGACCGCTGCAGGGAGAGAAGACAGTTTCCAGAACCACATGCTTCACCTCAGACTCCACCCTAGAGGTGCTTGCCCACTGTCAGTGACATCTCAGACATGTCAGCCTCACCACTAATTAGAAGCACTAGATTGTGAACCCCTTGGGGGAAGTTTCTATCTTACCTTCATTTTATCTCCCAGTTTAGCATTGTAACTAGCTCATAGTAGATGCTCAACAAATACTTTAAAAATGAATAAATGAACAAATGGATGTTCACATATCATTATGTTCATCAGAATTCTGATCCCAATCATCAATGGTTCTAAGTCATTTCCTTTTATTCCTTGACATTGCCTCAATTTTGTTTTTTCACTTAAGGATCACAACCATCTGTTTGAGGCTTAAACTCTTAGCCTTCACAAACACAGTCCCAAAGAAACATAATATAAGAGGATCAGAAAGAAGAAAAAGAGTTTATACATTTCTAGCAGTTCACTGTCTGATTTTCATTATGCCCAATCTGATTCCATTTAGATCCTGAATATGTGGACAAATGACTGATTTTTGTTGTTGAAATTCATTTAAACAGGTATAAGCAATAGCTCAGCATGTATATGGTACATGTATAGTCTATATTCTATACAGATACATACTGTTAAGGACATAGCCATTGCAAAATAGTTGCTGTGTTTTGGCCGTAGGGTGTTTGGTTGTGTCTGAACGGTTGGAACCATTTGCTGAAATGCTGGATGGGGGAGATGTCATACTCAATTGAGCTATTCCTCTGGCAGCTCAAGTGGGAAATGTATGATCATTAAATTCAGAAATTTCGGGCGTGGAAGAGGAGAAGGCAGACAACAGCAGTTCATCCATTTGAGCCAAGTACTGTATGAATAAAATATGGTCCACGTCCTTGAGGGCCTGGCAGTCCAGAAGAGGAGACATGGCAACAGATGAATATAGTACAATGACTATCGCAATTGGGGTCTTGTAGGAGCCCAGGCCCCCAGTGAGCAGGGTCAAAAGTACTTGTGTACCTGTGATTCTCTTCAAGAATGTGCTTTTTGCTCCTTCTTGAAATTTTCATTTGTGTCCTGGTACGAATGGGGCTGCTACAGCTTTTTAGTTGTGATCATGAAAATCCTAAGTTCACTCTCCTGTGATTTGGGTGCAGAGCTCTTCTCCCTCTTCCCTGGGTGGATTTGGGCAGGGGAAGCACTTAGACTCTCTCAGTTCCAGGAAGCTGGTAGGATGGCCTGTGGGTCCGGACTGTCACCTCCATGGCACTGGGCTTTACAGATAACTTAATACTGAAACAATTTGTTGTAGGAATGGAGTTTTCTGGGACAGTGTTGGAGACAGGCACAGATGTCAGCACAGTTAAAGAGGTAAACGTGTTGAAATCTGGGAGACTGATGTGTGTACAGTCATGAGAAACATGCTAACTCATTGGCAGCCAAAGGGGCTTATATCTCTTGGCAAAGGCCAGGAGACCCCAAAGGGAGACTGAGATGGAGGGTGAAGAAACGAATCCCGAATTGGGGGGAGGAAGGTAGTCGAAGTACCTGGTTTCATTAAACGTTCATTATTAATAAAAGGTGTTTAGCCCTGGCCAGTTTGGCTCAGCCGTTGAGCATTGACCTGTGGACAAGAGAGTCCTGGGTTCGGTTCCCCCTAGGGGCACGTACCACACACACACACACACAAAGGTGTTTTGTTGCTAAGAGGATAGAAAAGTCTCAAGTTTCAGCCTCTTGAGAAAGAAATTAACATTGGGATTCGAATTTATATCCAAATTCATATTCTAATTGATACCTGTATCATTGTTCCAAATGTGCTCAGATTGGCTTGGCATCCTGGTGGGGGTATTAAGAAAAAGACTGGAAAGCAGGAGGGGGTGGGAGCAGGGAGGAGGGGGTCAATGGGGAAAAAAGGGGGAAATCTGTAATACTTTCAACAATAAAAAAAAGAAAAAGGCTGAATTATTTACTTAACATTAACTCTAAATAGATAATTAGGATAAACCTGAGGAGGTCTTATGGAATCAGAAAGATGCATTTGAACCTCCCCTTTATGATGTTTTCCCTTCAGGGAGATCGAGTTATTGGAGTGAGTGGCTTTACTGGTATGGCTGAAGAATGTGTCATTGACCAGAAGGTATTTCTACCTCTCAGTATTAATGCTTGTGCATCTAAAAAAATGTCCGTTCTTTTCTTTAATTTTCACCTGTCCCTCATTTCTCACCCTTCCCCCAACCGCTTTTTCTTTGTATTTGGCCATATCTTGTTTCTCAGCCAAGCACTTCTTTCTTTCAAATGCTAAACCCCTTTTCTATGTTGGTGTGACAGCCCTTGCACAAAACTTTGTTTGTGTGGAGGGGTTTAATGAAGAAGCATTTTGTTTTCTGAGTCCTGGAAGCAACTGGCTGGCTGTCTACTTGGATCACAGTTAGGTAAAGACTGGTTTGGGGCATTAAGCTGGATGGAATGGGTTTTTCTCTCACTCCAAACTTGTGAGAGAGCGAGCCCTGGGAAGGGAGCCAGCCAGGGTGGCCAGATCCGGTTGTGCAGGATGTGAATGGTGCCCCCTAGTGGAGAACAGTGCATATTTCCCCCCTCAGTGTTACAGAGGTAAAATTTGGGTAACATCCAATTCACCCATTATATAGTACAGTGGTCAGTGTTTCATTCCCCCCAAGTTAGTTGGTTTCTTCCTGAGCAGGTGCAGCCTTAGGACTTTTGAAGACTGATACACCCAAGTTTTAACTCGGCCACAGGTTGCTTGGTCTTGACTTCTACTAGGCTTGGTTCCCTGACATGTGTTTTCCTTTGCAAATGAGTCACTCAATCATAATATTTACTGAGCAAACTTTATGGAGTCAGATCAGTTCCTAAGTCACTGTTATCTCTTGTGTAGGCGCTGTGGCAGATTCCAGAAGGGGTCCCCCTCCGGGAAGCTGCTTCCCTGCCTGTATCTTACGGTACTGCTATTATGGCCCTGGAGCATCGGGCATGTACCCAGCCTGGGTAAGGTCTGTGTAGACAACAGAGGGCGCGATAGGACCCTTCTCTGATATCAGAAGTGCCCAGGGCCTTGCCCCTCTTCTCCCTTGCCTGACCTTTAGCTCATGCTCAGTCTGTCCAAGGAAAGGCCAAAAGAAGTAGTGGCCCGAGGTTGGAGTCTGGTGACGGTGGAGATATCCTTCTGTCTGAGAGAGAATGGTAGGCTGTGAACTTGGCCAGTATGAATTTGGAGAAATATCCCTCTCAAACCTGACCACTCTGGGTAGCACCTCTTAGAAAACCTTTATGTTTCAAGAGTTGGTTTATTTAAACTCACTGCCCTCTGGTTTGAATGGAGGCCTGTGGTGTTCGTTTCTGTGAGGCTTGGTGGGGTGGACCTAACCTCAGAGGTGCTGAGTAACCCATCTTATCCGGGGTTTACCTGTTGCCTTCCGCTCCTTTCAGAGAGCTCAGATCGCCCCAGAGAGATGGCTGTAGTTGAGCAGTGCCCATTACCTATCACCACCTTCTAAAATTCGGCAGTGTTTAGTATGAGCACGATTTAGGACAGTTTCTGAAGCAGAATTGAGTACTAGCTCACAGGAAGAGGCTACCTAGAGATGTTAAGGACTATTTCTCCTGGGAAGTTTTCAGAACTGGAACAAATTAGCCCTGATCTAGCCACCGCCCATCCTGGAGAATGGACACACATAAAGGGTTGAATGGTCTCTAAATTCTCCTCTTGCTTTAAAATGTCCTGGTTTCAAAGAACTTGTTGCATGTATGCATAACCAATGGACAGACAACAGTGTTGGGGGGGGTCGGGATTGGGAGGAGGGTGTCAGTGGGGGGAAAAGGAGAAACGTCTGCAACAAAAATTAAAAAAAAAAGAAAATGTGATTCAATGCTTAAGGGACATATTGTATTAAAAGTATTTTGTTGTACCTGTGATTAATATGCATTTTGGAAAATCACTCAGCCTTACTTTTCTCATCTGTATAGTGGGGGTGATAACAGTTACTTTAGAGATATTATTGTCTATATTAGAAACAAAGTTTATAAAATGCCTCGGGGGGGGGAATAAAAAAAAGTCCCGGTTTCAAATTGTTCGTGAGATCATATTGCTGGATGCTTTTTGGTTTCTGAAGGAGCGTTCCTCTCTTTCTGGCACAGAGAAACTGTTCTAGTGACGGCGGCCGCTGGAGCCACAGGCCTCGCGGTCATAGACGTGGCGACACATGTTCTTCAGGCCAAGGTATTGTATGTTAGATTCTCCACTTGAACGAACTATACCACTAAACATGGTTTTCCGACACGGAATATGTCCATTGATTTAGTAAAAACCACGTGTGAGGCACTGGCCTTGCCAACTGTTTGCTTGTGGACTAGTGAGGGGACCTAGGAATACATCCCTGGTCCTTCCAGTTCCTGGAACCTGCAAGGTCTGCCTTGTTCACAGCCTCGCAGATGCTATTCCCTCCACCAGTGATGCTCTGAGCTGTCCTCCTCCCCCACCGGCACTTCACATTTAAACTCAAAGGCCACTGTTTAGGGAAGTATCCTTTGTCCCTCAGGAGGTGTTAATCCCCTTCCCGCACTATTTGCATAGGGTCTCATGGCATCCTATCCATCTCCTTCTTAGTACACACCGGATGCATCTCAGTTCCGCTTAGTCCTCGACTTGTGTCCTCATTAGATCACTGTCTCCCTCCCACTGGACTGGAATCCCCGTGAAGGCAGTTCCAGTGCCTGGCTTGGTGCCTAACCACAGCAGGCACTCAAGATCTGTTTCTGGAGTGAATGAATGGACGAACAAATGAAGGAAAGTGTCAGAGAAGGAGGGTTTCTTTGAGAAGGTGGACATTTAGGCTGAGTTTTTCAAGGACTGGCAGTAGTTGAATAGAGGAAGAAGGGAAGGGAGTCCATTTTGGTGGTGGGAGGGTCACTTAGAAGACAAATAGGAACTGACGGGATGCATTCAGGGGGTTGCAAATAGCATCTGGGGAGAGAGGATCTGTGTGGGCAACGGTGGAAATTGACTGTAGAGGTGGGCAGAGGTACGATCAGGGGGTGCCGGAGAATTTGAACATGTATTGAAAGCTAATGAGGGTGTTAGGTAGGGAAGTGACTCGATCATCTTTGAATTTGCAAAGTTCACCCTGGTAGCAGTGGGGATGAGGGAGGGGCAAGGTCAGGGGTGGCCCCAAGGTGTCAGGGCAGACTCCTGGAGCGATCCCAGCTGGAGCTGCGGGTACTTGAACCGGAATGGTGGGGGTGATGAATTGAGAGAGATGAAAGTGGAAGAAAATTGAGAATTTGGTCACTGGAGAACATTCTAACAAAGTTGAAGGAACAAAGACTTTGACGTTAGCCTGACCTGGGTTCAAATTCTAGCTCTGACCTTTAGCTTAATCATTTCAGTTTCCTCACTGGTAAAATAATGCTTTCCTCACAGGGTTGTGGTGGGAACACTGAAATTACACGTGCACTGTGCCTGCTGGAGGGCATGGCACGTCGGTAAGAATCTCTTAAAAAGGGATCCTGTTATTATTATACATTGAGTGGGAAGGAGCAAACTAGGTTAATTTGTGGATTTGTCACTTATTGCGATTGAGAACACAGGAGGACATGATGAGTTCGGTTTTGGATGTTGTCGAGTGTGAGGTTCCCATGGAGATGCAGTGGGGTATCCAGAAGGTGCCAGGATATACAGGCTTGGAGATAATTGGATTGGTCTGGAATTTCTGCAGGTGGCATCTCTCCTTCTCACATGGAGCTCCTCTGGTAAGGACATGTGAGTCCCGAAAGCAATCTCAGACACTAGGAAGCTCCTCGTGGAATAGGAACACATTTCACGTCAAAAACAAGGGCTCTTAGCACCTCTCTCAGCAGGGAGATCAAAATTAGCCTCATTGTCTAGAACCACTGACTCTTTAACATTTCTAGGAAAATGAAATTGTACCATTTGTTTCAAGTAGTTACAGGAGGTTAAGTAGAGAGAAAAATCCACTTCAAGTTCAGATATTAAATATAATCTAAGCTGTATTTTCTTCAATAGCAAAAATGGTTTTATGCAAAAGCAAACAAAAATAAAAATAAAAATATTGTCATCATGCCATTAACTTGGAAGTGTCATTTTGATAACACCTGCCATTCCCAGCACTTCACAGGGCTTTCGCTGGCCTCCGCGGCTGTTATGAGACCCTCACGCCTCACAGAGCCCCTGGGAGACAGGGCTGCAAGGTGTTTATTGTCCCTATTTCACAGATGAAGAAAGCGAGGCACCAAGAGAGAAAGGGATTCACGGCAGGTCTCACCGGGACCTGGTGAGAGTCCTGGGATGGGAAGCAGGTGCCTGACCTGCTCAGGTGTTGCCCCTGTGGCACTGTGTGCTGATTGCCCTCCGTGACCTGCAGCTGTTTGAGGATAGCTTTCAGTTCCAAACAGTTAGGAGTTTGGAATCTCTGAAGGGCACTAATGTTTGTGAGTGTTTCAGTACAAGTTCTGAAAGTCACCTTGGGGCAAAAGTGCTGGGGCTGGTGGGTGCTGACCAGTGCTAAGGCACCTCCAGGCAATGTTTGAGCGTTTGAAACTTTTCTGGAGACTTCCAAACCCCGGACCTCCTCACAGTATGCCCTGCAGCCATCGATGCCACCTTGGCCACGCCTTAGGCCTGGTTTTCCCCCAGGGGGATGGATGGAAGAGCGTAGGCTTTGGAGTCAGGCAGCACTGGGGTTGAATACATGTGCTACTACCTGGGTGATCCTGGATTAGCAATTTACCCTCTCTGGCCCTACGTCTCCACGTCTAGAATGGAAGTAATTATACTTCCCATAATGTTCCTATGAGGTTTCAATAGAATAATTGATTGCATATGTATAACAGTAGATTTAAGTTTTCCAGCGCTTTGTTTTGCAAGTGCTTTACATACAGTAGTATTCCACTGAATTCTTAAAATAAATCTGCATATATGGATGAGGTAACTGATGCTTAGAGAAGTAGGCAGGCAGTATAGAGAGGTTAAAGAATGAACTTTGGAGACAGAGTATCTGGGTTTGGTTTTCAGTTTGCCTCCCATTACCTGGTTGATTTTGGGCAAGTTACTTACATTTTATTTTTTTGGTCTCAGTTTTTTAATATCTAAAATGGGGATAATAATAGTGTGTCTATCATTGGACTACTGGTATATTGCATTATTTGTATACATAAAGCATTTAGAATAGTTCCTGCCACATAGTAAGTACTATGTAAATGTCAGCTCTTACGAAGTAATTGGCTGTAGGGAACATCGCTGGTTAGTAGCAGGGCCCAGGATTTGAACTTGAATCTGTCCGATTTCAAGAGCTTTCCACTGAATCTTGTTTTATCCTCTGGGAAGCCTTTCTTTCTTTTTTTCCTCACCCGAGGACATTTTCGCATCCATCTTCAGATAGAGTGGGAGGGAGAGAGGGAGGAAGAAAGAGAGAGAAACATCCATGTGAGAGAGACACATCAAGTCGTTGCCACCCACATGACCCCAACCGGGTGGGTACAAAATGCAACTGAGGTACATGCCCTTTGTGGGAACTGAACCCGGGCTCTCTGGTCCACGGGCTGACACTCTAACCGCCTGGATCTGGGTTGGACAGTTCGCGTTTGCACTTCTAGAACCTTCCGTACTTCCCCATCACACTGATGTAGCTTGCTTTCTTGACTCTAATCTTGGTATTTAGCTTGTATCCTTACTACCTGACTCATAGTAGATGCTCAGTAAATGGTGGTTTTAATTCGCATCTGGAGAAGACTTACTAAGTGTCTCCTGAACCATCTCCTAGCTAGACTCATTGGGGTTTCAGGATTCTGGGACATGTGGATCCCACATCCAGTGGGGCGCGGAGGGGCCAGGGTCATGGTGCTGTGTGTTGGGCCTGCTGGTTGGATTGAGGCTGGTGTAGGTCAGCAAGGTCACATTGGTTTCTTGATTAGCACGCTTTGGGTACAGGTTGGGTGGGTGGCTTGAGCCCCTCTTGGTCCATATTCTGGAACCTCAGAAGCTCTGTGTTCTTTATGCAGGTAATAGCTGCCGCCGGAAGTGACGAGAAGTGCAGGCTGGCCGTGGAGCGGGGCGCACAGGCCAGTGTGAACTACAGTCAGGGCAGCCTGAGGGACGCAGTGACGGAGCTGGTGGGCAGTGGCGGGGTGAATGTGGCCATCGACACCGTGGGAGGAGACATCTTCCTGGAGGCTCTCCGCAGGTGCGTGGAGGGTCTTTCCAGGGTGGGCTGGGCCGGGGGCTCTGCCTTCCTCCAGGCCTGGCTTCCCTTTCGTCCTCACTGCTCACTTCTGCAGGCATCGGCACCGACCAGAACAGCTGAGTGGGGGCGTGGAAAGAACTAGAAGCAGAGGGGGAAATCAGGAAATGCTTAAATATAGCAACAACAAAATATCCAACTGGAAAATAGCCAAGAAATGACAGCAGACTCTCTAGTTGGCAACATCAAATGCTTTAGGAATTATACATGTGTTCAATTCAGCTGTGCCGCCCCCACCAACCGCTTGATGTCCACGGTGTGGGTAATTCTTGAGGAGATCATTGTTCAGATGTTAAATGTGCCCATTCTTTTGATCTTGCCGGTTTTGAAGTAGCCAGCAGGGTAGGTATCTCTTTGATTTTTTTTTTTGAAATCACTGGTGATTTAGTGGGACTGCTGTCTTTATACCAATTCTCATTCTGGTTTCAACCAGGACTCTGGAGTGCTTTGTAATCGGGTTTCGTTTCTTGTGTCAACCTGGCAAGCACAATCTTTGCTTTATCTCAGTTTAAAGTAGAAAAAATAGAAGCAAAGAGAACAGCTTGGCCCGGCCGGTGTGGCTCTGTGGTTGAGCGTTGACCCATGCACCAAGAGGTCACTGGTTCGATTCCCGGTCAGGGCACATGCCCGAGTTGTGGGCCAAATCCCCAGTCAGGGGCATGCAGGAGGCGGCCAATCGATGTTCTGTCATTGATGTTTCTATCTCTCCCTCTCCCTTCCTCTCTCAAAGACCAATAAAGAAAAAAAATTAAAAAAAAAAAAAGAGTAGCTTGCCCATAGTGGGGGCCCATTGGTGCTGGAGGCCCCGAGTATCAGCTCAGTGTGTCCGGGACTGTGCTTGGCCAAGGAGGAGTGTGCGAGTAAACAGAGGGCAGGACAGAGGGCTGCTGGTACTCCCCCTGCACCTGCCTTCTGCATCATGCTGTTTGGACAACAGCTTCTCATTCCCCTTAGAAGAAGAGGAGCAAACCACCAAATCGGCAGACACATATTTCATATGAAAGATGTTTACAAACTTTTGTTTCTGTAACTCAGCGCTTAGCATGCACTGCGTGGCTCTTCTCATAATGGGCTGCGGGAAACTGCTGCGAATTTTTGTGGATTGTTCAAAAGTCTGTAGAGAAGCACATAACCTAAAGGAGTCCGAAGCAAAGGAGGCTGCATTCAAGGGCCCGTCTTATCCCTGCTTCCTAAGTTCAAGGGCTTCAAGCTCAGTTGTCTCCGAGTGCAGCATCTGGAATGACGTTTGTTTACAGCAGGTTTCCTTCCACGAAGTCGTGGGCTGGTTAAACAGGCAGTCTTGGTGCTCACGTGGGGCTGCTGATGAAGCCGGCCGCTTCCCTGGCCGCCGGCTGCCTCGCTCGTGGCTTGTGTTTATAGTTCCCCATTGAAGGATCCGCAGCGATCCAAGATGGGTCCCCCCTGCCAGCGGGGAGGCAAGGGGAGTTTCCAGCTGGAGGCTTAATACATGTTCCCTTTTTAAAAAAATTGTGGTAAAATATACATAACCCAATACTTATCATTTTAACCATTTGTGAGTGTACAGGTCAGTGGCATTAAATATGCTCACCACGCTGTGTAACCTTCCCCAACAAAGTCTCTGTATCCATGCGGCCGCACCTGTCCCTCCTCCCTCCTCCACTCCCCGGGAAGCTCTGTTTCACTTTGTCTCTATGAAGACATTGTTTTTTATATTTTTTATTCTACCTTCTTTACTGTGGTAAAAAATTACATAACATAAACTTGCTATATTGACCATTTTAAGTGTGCGGTCCAGTAGTGCTAAGTAGAGTCACGCTGTTGTGAAATGCATCTCCAGAGCTTTTCCATCCTGCCCATTAAACAGCAGACCTCCCTCCCCCAGCCCCTGGTAACCACTATTCTCCTTCTGTTCCTATGAATGCGACTGCTTAGACACCTCACGTAGATAGAATTATATAGCATTTGTCTTTTTGTAACTGGCTGTTTCACTTAGCATAATGTCCTTAAGGTTCATCCATGTCGTAGCATGTGACAGAATTTCCTTCCCTTTTAAGACTGAGTAATATTCCATTGTCAAATATATGCACATGTTGTTAATCCGTTCATCAGCTGATGGACATTCGGGTTGCTTACACCTCTTGGCTATTGTAGATAAAGCTGCTGTGAACATGGGTGTGCAAATATCTCGTCGAGACTCTGCTTCCAGTTCTTTTGGATATAGGCCAGGACGTGGGATGGCTGGATCCTATGGAAATTCTATTTTTAATTTTTTTGAGGCACCTCCCTACTGGTTTCCATGGCGGTTGCACCATTTTACAGTTCTACCAGCAGTGCCTGAGGGTTCCAGTTTCTCCACACCCTGGCCACCACTTCTCGTCCCTTCTCTTCTGTTCTTTTCAAATAGTTGCCAGCCTCGTGGATGTGAGAGTTCACTGCATTGACATTTTTTCATTCTCCTTCCCTCCTCAGCCTGGCATGGGAGGGCAGGATTGTAGTGGTGGGCTTCGCTGGAGGAAACATCGCTTCTGTGTCAGCCAACCTCCTGCTCCTGAAGAATATCTCAGCCATGGGGGTGTACTGGGGCCGGTACCGAGACCAGAACTTCCCCGTCTTCTCCAGGAGCCTGTCCTCGGCTCTTCAGTACTGCCAGGAGGGCCGCATCCAGCCGCACATCGGAGTGGTTTTTAAGCTGGAGGAGGTGAGATGCTCTTATGGAGTGTGCTGGGGATAAAGCCAAGCTGTCAAATACCTCCTGTCCGGATAGTATAAATCCTCCTGTTACGGAAAGAGAAGGTGAACATGCCACATAGAATAATGGGGTCTCGCAGGCTTGGGGGGGTCACAGGATTTCTCCCACTCCTCTGGGCTGTCCAGCCTGAACCCAGTGAGCCGCCCGGGAAGCTGGACCTGTGAAGACCACACAGGTGGTGGGTGTTGACGGCTCTCTCTCCATCAGTGGTGTCCCACACAGAGGCGAGGGGGGTACTGGAGGAAGTAATTCACCTGTGTTGATATGAACTCTGAACTCCACAACATACACGTCTAAGAAAGAAGCACTTACCTTGACCTTTGACTTTAGAATTCAGGCACGTTAAAGTAGAACCAGATGATCGAGGCCGGAGTTCTGTGAACAAATCACGAAACCACGCCTGGCATCGTAAGGCTGTAATTCACCCACAGTCACTGCAGTGGATTGTGTTGGCTATTCACTCCTTTTTCCTTCCCCCACAGTGCCCTCCAAAGTGCAGTTGTGTGATGCATATGCGGAATTGTAACTGTGGCTGTTAGGCATTCACTGCGAAGTCTCTCTCTTTTGGCTTAATTTGTTTTAATGTTCAAAAACCTGTCGTGGTAGCGCTGGTCAGCCGTGCTGTATTGTGCGTGTGCAGATGAGCGGAGCTCAAGCTGTCAGGCCAGACGTCACTGCTCACCAGCCTTCAGTTATGTGTTTTCCCCACGACGAGGCGCGTTCTGCCCGAACGGTCACTGTCTCGTCCCTTTGTCATGTCAGTCTAGAGGGTGGTGCTCAGTGAGATGAAGGGAACCTGACTGGCCGTCAGAAAACTGGTTGGGTTCTGATTCCAGCTTTGGATCCCTCCGTTTGCCCCTTTGTGGAAGTCCCCTCACCTTTCTGGCCTTCACGCAACATGTCTATACAGTCGCGGGGTGGGGCCCGGCCGATGGGCTCAGTGTTTGAGCGTCGACCCTGCACCAAGGGGTGGCCGGTTCGATTCCCAGTCAGGACACATGCCCAGGCTGTGGGCCTGATCCCCAGTGGGGGCATGCTGGAGGCGGCCAATCGATGTTCTCTCTCATCGATGTTTCTATTTCTCCCTCTCTCTCCAAAATAAATAAAGAAAAATAAATAAATAATAAGATTGAGGGGTAGGACAATCGGGAGCCACAGTCAGGACTTAGGGTGGGGCAGATGTAGACTTGAGCTTGCTGGCCTCTGGGACCCCGTCAGTGCTGGGGCTGGAGTAGCTGCACGTTTTTGCTTTTTTGTTTATACTTTTTTTTTTTTTTATCCTCACCCGAGGATATTTTTCCATTTTTTGTACAGACAGAGTGGGAGGGAGAGAGAGGAAGGGAGAGAGAGAGAGAAACATCAATGTGAAGGGACACATCGAGTGGCTGCCACCCGCACTACCAACCAGGGCCGGGGACAAACTGCAACTGAAGCACGTGCCCTTAGCGGGAACCGAACCCGGGTCTCTCCAGACCGCAGGCCGACGCTCTAACCACTGAGCAAAACTGGCCAGGGCTATCCTTTTCTTTTAAGAAAAGGTTTCGTGGTTTACAAGGTGAAAAGTACAAGTTTAGAGAATTCCTGGATCCCCCTCCAACGTGTGGCTTTTATCACATGACTTGTAAACTGAGGTTTGCTTCGCCCGAGGCTTGGGTATACCTGTTGACAGAGGATGAGGACAGCTGGACAGCACAGGCGTGGACACAGGTGCTGGCTTGAACTATCTCTTCTCTGCATCGACGTGTTCTAGGTGCCGCTTGAGCAGGAAAGAAAGCCAGAGCACCCAGGCTGAGGTTCTCTCCTCTTGGACACAAGTTAATGATCTAATTGCCGACCCCCTGGCAGCTTCCATTGCCCTTCTTTCCCAGGAGGGCTCTGCGCACAGGGTTTTATGGCTCTTCCCACTCTGCCGACCTTCGGGTATCGGCTGGCTGTCGGAGGTCCTGCGCCCTAACAGTTTCAAGTACCTCACTCACACACCATCCATTGACTACTTCTTCTCTTTCTGTTTCTTTCAAACTATTTAGAGGAATAATCATCATCATCATCATCATCATAATGATAATAATTATGGTAGCTCCTATACATTAGGTGCTTACCAGGGGTCAAGAACTGTGCTAAGTACTTTATATGCATTTTCTCATTTAATCTTCTTAACAACCCTTCGAGGACCATTTTTATCGCAGGCTGTGTTAGAGGGGCAGTTAGACAGACATGCGCAGAGTAGGAACGGTAGTCCAGGTACGGAAGGTCACAGGTGGAAAGCCTAGCAATGGGAAAGACTGGAAGAACAAGTATTGCAGGGGGACCTCGCCCGGAGGGTGACCTTTCCTCCCCTAGCATGTTACTGGCCGTGCGTTCCTTAAGATGAAGGACCCAGTTCGAGACCTCGTCTTTCCTCACCGCCTTCTTTCCCCAGGGGTGCTTTCTCTGACTTTCTTTTCCCCAAGTTCACGAGCCCTTCTTTTACCTTGGCAACTTCTTCCCCGAGTCCATGCAGCCCAGCTAGCTCACTCCCTCCGCCTCTGTGACTTTCTAAGTAAACTTTCACTTGCATTTGAGTTCTTGGCTCTGAATTCTTTCTTAGCCAGACTCAAGGACCGAGGTCTTACTTTGCAGCTGACATCTGGTGTGGCCGTTGACAGTTATAGATGAAGAAATCAAGGATTGTGGAAGCTGAGACATTTGTCCAATAATGTGTAGTAAGTGACAGACTTGGAATCCAGTCCACGTTGGTCTGACATCAGATTCTGAGATCCTTATGGCCATGTCAAACTCTCCTCAAACAAGCCAGGAAGTTACCTCTTAGCAACCTTATTTTAGAGTCTGAAGTTTATCTGTCTTTCAGAGAATTATCTTACAGTTCAAATGACCAGGAATCTTGAATTATCCAGAGCAGTAGTATCAGCTTAACAATAACCCACAACCTTCAGATCAACTTTGAATAGTAGTATCTATATATTTTGTTCTTTTAAGCTGAAGGTGCTTACATGAATATATAATTAGTTTCACTTAATTTAAAGCCTGAGTAGTATTTTTTTCAGGTAAATCAGTTAAACTATTTGCAAAATTTATCTCCCAGAACCTGCTTGGGCTTGGAAAATGACCACTGTGTTTTTGTGTATACTATCTATTTCTGGCTCTATATCTATATATCTATGTCTATATCTATGTCTATATCTATCTATATCTATATCTATATCTATATCTATATCTATATCTATATCTATATCTATATCTATCTATATTGTACCATAAATAATGATGCCTCCTAGCTTTTATTTTCTTCTGAATATGTGGACTCACAGATTTGACTTTGATAGTTGATATTAAACGGACCACATAGGCACAGGGTATGAACTCCCATAGTACTCCACGCCCCCCTTCACCTGCCTGGAATTATTGGTTGATGCCCGTTGATCCCGTGGAGCACAGACTCCACACAGGCAGGGGCCATGTGCTGTCTGCACCTTGGAGTCTCTAGATTTTGGTAGGGACTCACGTGTCTGTCGAGTGATTGAGAATACGGGAATCCCGGCCCCGCTACCACCTAACTGACTACGGGCACATTACTTACATCTTTGTGCCTTATTTTCTTGTCTGTACTGGGAGCAGTAATATACTCTACCTACTAGGATGGTTATGAGGATTACATACGATAATACAGGTAAAAGCATATCATTAAACACTTAGTATGTATATATTTTTCAATGTTTTTTTCTTTATTGATTTTAGAGAGGAAGAGAGAGGGAGAGAGACATAGAAACATCAGTTAGAGAGAACATTGATTGGCCGCCTCCTGCATGCCCCCCATTGGGGATCAGGCCCCCTACTGGGCATGTGCCCTGACTGGGAATCGAACCAGCGACCTCTTGGTGCATGGGTCGATGCTCAACCACTGAGCCACACCAGCTGGGCACACTTAGTATATTTTTAAAAGCAAAATCTATAGCCATTATGCAGAGTTGAGCTTTTCCGTTCCCCTGAACTCTGACACTTCTGCACTGACATTTCAGAGGGCCGGATTTGATTCTTTTTTTTTTTTTAATCCTCACCCGAGGACATTATTCGATATTTTGTTCAGATAGAGTGGGAGGGAGAGAGAGAGAAACATCGACGTGAAAGGGACACATCGAGTGGCTGCCACCCACACGACCCAACCAGGGCTGGGGACAAACTGCAACCGAGGTACATGCCCTTAGCGGGAACCGAACCCGGGTCTCTCTGGACCGCAGGCCGACACACTAACCGCTGAGCCAAACCGGCCAGGGCAAGAGGGCTGGATTTGAGGGACATTCTTCAGATTTTGAATTTTAAATAGAATTTATTGTGCCCCTTGAGCTGTCGGAAGAAGGTATTCTTCAGCATGTCTGCTTTCCATAGGGAGCTCTCCACACACATCTCGACCTGACACAGTACTTAAACCTTGCAGATCTGAACTTGTTTATTCTGTAAAGGCTGGCTGAGATCACCACCTGAACAGATTTAATGGCTAGAAATTGTTTAGTTGAAGTTTCCTGAGTGTGTCTGTGGAATTAATTTTAGTGCATTGTTCCAGAGCCAGTTTATGAGCCTCCCCATATCTGCCAGTCCTACCTGCCCCAGATCTTGTCCACTTGTCACACTTTTCCAGTGATGGCTCATGCCAGTGATCCCTGCAGTCATGCACCCCAGAGCCCGTCCTAGGGCCATCTCCTGACACCCCGATTGTCTCATGCTTTCCCAGGGTGAGGGCTGATCTTAGGCATGGCTTCATCATTTTGCTCATCAGGGGGGAAGCTGCTGGTGCAGAGGTGATCTGAAGAAACTCTGGCTTCTGCACAAACTGGAACACGACCCAGAAGTGTGGGGAGTTCACTCCACGGGGCAAACTGTAGACAGACTGCTGCTGCTGTTCCTCCTCCCCGTGGACTGTTCCGACGTGCAGTGGGTTCCATACGGCCTCTCTG